ACATCATCAACATTCATCAACAACATCAAAAACAGCAACAACAACAACATCAACTATAACAACAACAACATCAACAACAACATCAACATCAACAACTACATAAACATCAACAACTACATCAACATCAACAACTGACAATTTTGTTGCTATCGGTCGCCTGAATAAGAGTCCCATTGAAACAATCAAACAGATATTGTATTGTATCGGAGTACTGCAAACATGTTTTAAAATAAGTTTGTATGTTTTGGTATATGGTTGTAAGTTTTGTATGTGTTTGTATATTTTGGCGTAAATTTTTATGTTTTTGAATATGGCTGTGTTTTTATGTGTTTGTATGTTTTGGTGTGAGTTAATATGATTTTGTATATGGCTGTATGTTTTGTATGTGTTTGGATCTTTTGGTGTAAGTTAGTATGTTTTGTATTAAATAAATGCAAAATACAAAGAATAAACATGACAAATAGATGACGCCATGACGATGGTTGTAACGTTTTGGGGAAAATAATGATCACAGAGATGATGATGTTGTTATAGCGATGAAGACGCTAATGGTGATTGTGATGATGACGACGACGATGACGACGATGATGACGACGATGATGAATGATGAATGTGATTAAAGTAATTATTCTTAGCCTAATTGACATCGTAAATATGACGGCACATGCTTTGGGCGGTTTTTCAAAATCTATAAAACATTAGCTATGGATGGTTAACAATAAAACCTCTGCTGACATGTGAGACGTTGATGATGATGATGGTGATGATGAGATTATGATGATGATGGTAATGATGATGATGGTAATGATGATGGTGATTGTGGAGTGGTGATGATAATGATGTTGGTAATGATGGTGATGATTGTAAACCAATAATGAAATTGATGATGATGATGATGATGATGATGATGATGGAGGTGACCCAATAAGAAAAATGATAATGATGATGTATATATAATGATGCCAAAACAATGAAGACGATGGTGACGTCAATAAGAAAGATGATATTGTACGACGGGAATGATGAATATTAATCATTTTTATAGCGCTTTTTTAATTTTTTTTTTCATAACATCTCCCATCAGACACATCACCTTGATGATGTTGAAGAAATCATCATCGTTTAACGTGTCGAGAATTTTGTGGACTGTGGCCTTGGCTATTTGGTTGCGAAGACCTCTCATACTGCCGCTTACATCCAATAAGATTATCAGATCTTTCGGATAGGCTGCCGCTTGGAGATACCTGTGATTTGATTGGTCGATGTTTTTTTTAAATGCTGTGATTGGTTGAGGAAGTGCTGCAATTTGTTGTTGGTTTTTAAAAGTCAAAATGGTGATGACGATGATGATGGTGATGATCCAATGATGAAGATGAAGATGATGATGGTGATCCAATAAAAAAAATGATGATGATGATGTATATATAATGATGCCTAAACCATGAAGATTAAGAAGAAGATGATGACAATAACAAACGTATGATATAGTATGATGAAAATGAGAGATCGATATGATTGGCTGAGATTTCTGAAAGAGGTGTGCTCTGATTGGTTGATATTTTTAAGGAAAGGGTTGTTTTAATTGTTTAAAAATTACTACGTAATAACAATGAAAAACTGACCAATCGCGAACTCTGCAGTCGAACGTGTCGATGTTCAGTGTTTCCCATTTTGTACCTAGACGGATGGATGGATGGATGAATGGATGAATGAATCGATGGATGAATAAATGAATGAGTGAGTGAAAAGATAGATGGATAGATTGATGAACTAATAAATAGGTTGATGGATTAATGAATTGAGAAAATAAATACGCAAACGGATAGACAGATGGACTAATGGATAGATAGATGAATGGATGGATGAAAACGGTAATGATGATGATGATGATGATGATGATGATGATGATGGTAGTTTTGATAATGATCTAAAGCAGACCCGGATAGAAGCGAAGAAAGCCGCTGGAGCTGCAGAAGTATTGCCAAGTAGCAGTCGGGTCTATTCGGAAGTTGTTGACGAAAGCTGTGTTCAGCTGGTCAGTCCAGGAAACACCATTCAAAATGACCGCGGCTTTTTGCACGAGGGAACGAACAAATGAAATAATAAAAAAAAAACAAAAAAAACAAAAAAAACCTTTGAGAGTGAATGAATGAATAAATGAATGAATGAACAAACGAACGAACGAATGAATGAATGAACGAACGAACGAATGAATGAATGAATGAACGAACGAAAGAATGAATGAATGAATGAACGAACGAACGAACGAACGAATGAATCTAGAATTAAATATAAAAGCATGGTTGATTAAATTAGATTGAATAGTTGAATAAATAAATTAATTCATTCATAGACGGATTGATAAAGAGGTAGACTGATGAATGAATGAAAAAATGAGTGAATCAATGAATGAGTGAATCAATGAATGAATTAATGAAAAATAAACAAATTAAAATCAAACATCAAAATTTATATATTAATGAAGAAAGCGAATGGACATTGAAATAAAATGAAATGAATAAAATGCAGTAACCAGAGAAAATCAAATATAAAAATCCTAAATGAGAGAAACTTTAGAATGGAAAAAAGAAATAAAGAATATGCCACTAAATTGTTAGTGACTTGACATTTATGAAGACAGATGATGTTTTGAATGGTACAGTGAGTAAATTGATTGACTGACTGACTGACTGACTGACTGATTGATTGATTGATTGATTGATTGATTCATTCATTCATTCATTCATTTATTCATTCATTCATTCATTCATTCGTTCGTTCTTTCGTTCATTCATTCATTCATTCATCAATCATTTACTGACATTCGTTATAAACATTAGTCGGCACGTGAATGGTACTGTGTTGTAGGTTGATGGCGATGTTTTTGAACCTCTCACCAACTCTTAGCTCAAACTCTGACAGATTTAGCAATTTTGAGTTGTAGTATTTCATCTGGTGGATGAAATTTTTGTAAAATATTTAACATTTCGTTAATTATGTAAAGTCGTTCATTATAAGATCAGTTATTAGTTGATTAGTTTAAGCAGTGGCGTGACTAGGGTTGGTGTCACCCGGTGCGGTAACTCATGGTGTCACCCCTCTCATGACACCCCATAGACATACAGCATTCTTAGCAAAATTTATAAACACGAACAAGTTAAATGTGCTCGGCCGCGGCGCTTAATAATTCGGACGTCGAATTTGAATGGTATAAATGTCGAATACAAAAATGATTTGAACGAAAAAAATTTTATTCATAATACATTTCTGGGCGCTGGGCGGGTTAGGCTGAATTAATGATAAGAATAATTTCATGGAGGGACATAAAAACATATACAGTGATATTTTGGTGTCATCCCCTGTGAGGGTGTCACCCGGTGCGGTCCGCACCCCCCGCACCCCCCTAGTGACGCCACTGAGTTTAAGTAGATGGATAGATGAATGACAATCTACTCAATCGATCCATTGGTTAATGAATCAATTAAAAAAGCATTCAGTTAACCAGCTATCTAACCGGTCAATCAATCAATAATCAAACAATTAATTAATCAATAAATCAATCGATCAAACAAACTAACAAACAAACAATCAGTGGATAACTTAAACAATAACAATCTATGTACAGTACAACCTTAATTTCGTTGTCGTATTGATATTCGGAGAAAAAACGTTCAGCAAGCCCAACCAAGTCCTGTAGTGGGTTTTGTTGCACATGTATGCAAACAAACAAACATACATACATACATACATACAAACACACACATACATACATACATATATATGTACATACAAACACACACACACATATACATACATACATAAATACATATATACATACTCTCATTAATACATACATACACACACATATGTATGTTATGTATGCATGTATGTGTGTGTGTGTGTATGCATGTATGTGTGTGTGTGTATGTATGTACGTATTTATGTATGCAAAATAAACATTTTCTCTTAATGAGACTTATGGATCGGTTACTTTTTTTTTAGGGCAAGCAAGACAAGAAAAGTTTAATCAAAAGTGCTTTTGAAGTTGGACACTTTTAAAATGTTACATTAAAATTAAAAAGGTAAAAAAATCTTTTCACGAGTGAGAAAAAAAGAGAAAAAGAGAAAAAGATAGAGAGAAAAAAAGAGAAAGAGAGAGAGAGAGAGAAAAAGGAGAAAAACAAGGAAGAAGTAGGATGCAACGGAAAGAAAAAAAAACGAAAAAAATTGGAAAATCAAAAGAAGAAAGAAAGATAGAAACAAAAAGAGAGAACATACGCACACAAACAGACAGACACACAAACATACACACACACAGACAGAGTATACACAGATAGAGAGAGAGAGGGAGAGAGAGAGCGAGAGAAAGAGAGAGAGAGAATGAGAGAAGAAGAGTATGAAATATTAATATCCTATGCAATTCGTTTACAATTTTCATCCCAGGCCGGTACTACATTCACTGTTTAAAAATTTTTTCATGCTGCGTATCGGAATGATTGTCCGAACAATATATTAATAGTGGCCCTGTGCACGCTGGCATTAAATAAGCCGCATGCATAATAAAGCATTGTAGCTATTGGTATTTCTGGATACTACGGTACGAAACACACGTACGTATATGCATGCGTGCACGCATACGATACGATACGATACATTTTATTTGTCTACAAAACAAAGGAAAAAGAAGACAGGATGACCATAAAAAGTTAACAAGTAACCTATCAAGTATAGCTACCTTACACATAGTTAAAAAGAAAATAAAATTATATCCTATAAAAAAAAAAACAAATCATAGATACATACATACATACACACATACATACAAACATACATACTTACTTACATACATACAAACATACATACATACAAACATATGTGCTTTGTTGAGCGTTTCTTTCACATGAGTTGAATATCAATTGTAGAATACATTTTTCATCTTCATGTATGCAGGTTAATATATCTGTATTTTACGCTGTCAATCACTAATAGCTAAATGCTAAATGTACCTATTATGCACCCAGAAGTTAATTTATAAAAATTTAATGAAGTACAGAAATTTCGCATCTTGAAACTCCACTTTATGAGTGTGTGTGTGTGTGTATGTGTGTGTGTGTGTGTGTGTGTGTGTGTGTGTGTGTGTGTGTGTGTGTGTGTGTGTGTGTGCGTTCACAACTGAAGGCATTTCTTCATAGGTATTTGGTAGGTACATGTAGATACATATAACAACACGTATTAAGTTATCATTCTTTTTAAAAATTGATGAAATCATTAAAATATCCGATCAATTGCTGCTTGTGTTTATATGTTTACCAAATGAATGGCTACTACAACGTATAGAACAATTCTTTCTATGATATGTGTGTGAGTATTCAATTGTCTACTCGATACATCGTCTATAGACAATTCTGTAGACAGGCACGTAATGATAGATCTTCCATTATATTAGCGTATGTATACTGTCTATGTCTTGTGTCAACACGTGTGTCTGTGTACCTTTGTATATATACCTCTTTGTATATATACCTGTTTGTTTGTATCCACGGGTATTTGTATATACTTGCATGTATACAGAGGCTGTATATTATCCGTATGACCCTGTTGTACAACTTAACTGACGCATAGTAAAATGTCTAACACATATACAAAGACACATATAAATGATTAAATACAAATTGATACATACATAAGTGCATTTGCAATCAAGCACACAAAGACATACACACACACACAAACAAACACATACACGTATATATACACACACAGACGCATGCACACGCACACATTCATTCTTAGATTCTGCGCCACAGACTTGTCAGGCTAAAATGGATCAATAAGTTGCTAGGCTGGCGACGACGATGATGATGAAGAAGATGATGATGATGACGATGATGAAGATGATGAAGATGAGGACGATGACGACGATGAAGATGATGAAGATGACGATGATGACGACGACTATGACGATGAGGATGATGATGAAATAAAGATGATGATAAGCACAATTTCGACAGATAGATAGGTTGCAGATAGCGATATTCGTGTGGCAGATATGTACGTTACTAGTTATAAAGTCGACAAATAATAATAACAACAAAAAGAATAACATCAATAACAACACCAACAAAAATAAAAAAAATATTAACAACAAAAAGATGATGATAAACATGAAATTATAAAGCCGAGAATGTACGCTCATGAAGACGAATGTGTAGCCATAACTAAGATGGCTGGATAGTGAAGAATGATGATAAAGGAGAAGAAGAAGAAAATGTTTATAATTATTATTATTGATGTTATTATCATTATTATTAATGTTAATATCAATATCATTATTATTGAGATAATAATGTCAAAAAAAATTTCATGCTAGCTAAAACGAAGATGATGAAGATGACGATGACGACGATGATGATGAAGATGATGAAGATGACGAAGATGATGAAGATGACGAAGATGACGAAGATGATGAAGATGATGACGGTGATGACGGTGATGGCTCTGCGAATGATTAATATCCATTCATAATGAGTGAAATTAAACGGGATGTCACAGATGATGACGATTACGTGATAATGAAAACTGTAGTGGCGATGATGATGATGATGGTGATGATGATGACGATGATAGGATGACTATGATGGTGATGATGATGATGATGATGATGATAAAGACGACTATAATGATGATGATAATGATTTAACAAGAACCTGATATCATAGATGATGATGATGATGTGATAACAAAAGTGATGAAGACGATGAACAAGGCAAGTTAATAATGACAGATAAAATGATAAGATGTCTGACACGTTAACATCATCTCTACCGGTGCTCGTACAACTGAAAACAAATCTACACAAAACTTTCAAAACATTTATCTGCTACAAATATTATTGATTTGTTTATTTATTCATTCATCATTCATTCATTCGTTCCTTCATTCATTCATTCGTTCGTTTGTTCATTCATTCGTTCGTTCGTTCGTTCGTTCATTCGTTCGTTCATTAAAAAAAAACTAGAACACCAACCGAGACTGATTTAACTTTCTTGGCCAGCATGGAGCTCATCTTTTCGTTCATTTCTTCCAGTAGACGACTTCCATCTATTTTTGTGACCTTGGGATCCAACATCAAGTAATCCTGTAAGGCCATGAAAAGGTTAAAGTTTACGGGGTTAAAGTTTAAGGGATTGAAGCTCAAAAGGTCATAGCTTAAAAGTGATGGTAGGTAAAGAATATATAATAATTTTTTTAAAGATTAGATTCAGTAAAAAAAATCATTATGCGCTAAGTAGAGGTTCTTCAAACATTTTTAAATTTAATGAAGCATTTGATAAAGTCATTTAATTTAGTCAAATGGGATGAAACCCAATTGTACCTCACAAATTACAACAGGTCATAAAAATATCAGAAACGCATACAGACAAACACACACACGTACACAAGATCACATACAGAAGCACAGAAACTCACACAATCTAATTGGAGAGCTACAAAATTCAAAACACTAAATGATTTAAACGTTAAGTAATCTATCAACAACAAAAAACTACATAGACCATAAATTTGCTGTTAAAACTTGAGTGTAGGTTGGGAAGAATCAGACAGTCGTTTAAACTAAACGATGCGAGACAGCAAAAATAACATTACATTGTAAACAGGGGTTGTAAATATGTAACTAGGAATGTAAAATGATTACACAATGACATAGAACTCATTGAGTAGATTGCACATGTACGTACGGCTACCGCATGACTCGGCGGCTAAATGCATGCCTGTCTGGCTCCCAGCAAGCAATTAATTTTTTTTGCATATTTTGTTTTTTGTTAACGAAAAATATTATTTTATACTACAAAAATGCTTCAGTACTTTTACATTTTTGCTCTTTTTATTGAACAAAAGTTTTAAAAATGAAAGATTTAAAATTCGCAAAACTTTTTTTGAATAAACTGATGTAATTTTATGAGAAAACTGCAACGCTATGAGTCAAGTCGCTTCTCCAAAAGAACAAAAATCAATGAAACAACAACAAAAACAACGACAATAACAACAGCAGCAGCAGCAGCAGCGACAACCCTACCAGCAAAAAACCAAATAATCATAAAAGTGCATCTCATCCATAAAAACTACATAACGAACGACATAAGCACGCACACACGCAAACGCATACAAAAACGCATTTAATAAAAATGTTAATCATACGCAGGCAAACATGTTTGTAATGAACTTATTTCGCAAGGTCGTACAATGTTTTTTTTTTGTTTCTCCAAGAAATATTTTTCATTAAACATCCTCATGCTGTTACAATCTATTCGGCTTATCCAATGCAAACATGCCTAATCGTGTTCACAAAAATTTTACACAACCAAGTACAACATCAAATACGCTACATGGAAACATGGAAGCATCCACTCGAATTTGGAAAAACAGAAAAACACAAAATTTCTCCAATGTAAACAAGTTTTAATACATTGTTTGTGAACGCCCAATATTGGCTCCAGCATTAAAATGTCTGTACATATGTGTACACTGTGTGTACTTGCGTGAGTGTGGGTATGTTTGTGTACGTTTGTGTGCGTACGTGTGTGTGTATGTACGTTGGTGTGTGTGTGTGCACGTGTGTGTATGTATGTGTGTGTGTATGTGTATTTATCCAACTAATCATTGTTTGTCTGCTCTTTGTTTGTTTATGAATTTACAGCATATTTCTATTTTTCTTCCGACTTGAAGTGGCGGGGAATGGTCACGACACACACATTCATCCATATGACGCCATGTGAGAACATGGAGGAAGAGGAGGAAATATCTTTCAATTTTATTTTCATTACTATTTGAAATTGTCCTGTGAAATGTTACTCTGCAATGTTTGTACAAAAATTAAGATAATGTGTTTTATAACAAAGTTTATCTAGTATAAGCGATTGAGCGATTTTAACACGTTGATATTTTTTCAAAGTTATTTCTTCAATCATAATAAGCAAATATACTTTTGGGAAATAACAAAAATTTTCCAAATGATTTTCATCAACTTTATCAGTTATTTTCAATTCGTTTTTAAAACACTTTTAATACATTACTACTACCGAACAGACAATGGGCAAACAAACACACAAACACACACACACAACACACCAGTCACGAACACAAACAAGCAAACACATTCGCACATTTATACACCTATACAAACATATACATTTCAATGCCCTCAATGAACAAAAAGGTTTTATCAATCTTATTCAATTTTATCTTTCTTTAAAAATTTTTCTCCCTCTGCTTTATCTATGTAAATTCATGCCTGAATAGTTTTATTTTCTGCTATTTCTACTGAAAAAAAACTGTGAAAACAAAAAAACACCTCATAAATGATTCAGTGATATATTTTATTTCATTGAAATGAAAAATTTAAATGAAAGAATGAACAAACAAAAGAAGAAAATGACTAAATTGATTAAACAAAACGCTGGAAAATCAAACGAATCGTAGGTTAGATGAACGAATAGAATAAACAAACGAACAAACGAACGAACACATGAACGAACGAACAAATGAATGAACCTATAAACGAATGAACGAATGAATGGAAGAAGAAACGAATGAATGAATTACACCTCAGACCCCATTCTACATTCACGTAGCATACTCAAGCCCGTCCA